GAGAGCAGGGCCTGTGGGCCCTGGGGAACCCCCGTGTCCCCCTCCCACGGTACAGACATGCAGGTATTTATAAAAGAAAGGCAGACAGGGTGGGGGGGGGAGGTGGGGCTGCACGGGGGAGCTCCCCTCAGACAGCATCTTCCCTAAAGGGAGAAATAAAAAAATACAGCCAGGCCAGAGGGTCACGGAAAACCGTCATCGTCGTCCTCTGCCATCTCCTTGGCGAACTCCAGGTCCTGCTGCTCGCGCTCCCGGCGCTCCTGGAAGGCAAAGGCAGAGGGTGGTGGCAGTTGGTGGGGACAGGAGCCCTGTCCTCCCCGTGGCCTCGAGCTGAGAAACAGCACGAGCCATTTCTGGTAGAGAAAGATCTTGGGCAAGATCTCACCTCTGCAGATTCCAAGTCCTTGTTGTAAGATTTGGGTGGGAACCTCATGGCCTGGGGGAAAAAAAAAACAAAAACAAAAACAAAAGGGAGAGGAGCCCGCCTGAGCTGAGAAACGCTTCAACAAAGGGCAACAAAGATGATTCAAGGATTGGAGCATCTCCCTGATGAGGGGAGACTGAGAGAGATGGGACTCTTTAGTCTGGAGAAGAGAAGGCTGAGGGGAGACCGGTGGTGTTGGAGGTGAAGAAGCCATTGATGGCTTTGTGCAGCACGTTGGAGTTGAGTCGGCGGGAGGTGGAGGGCAGAGCCCGCAGGGCACGCAGGACGTAGCGCGGCTCCTTCCCCGACACGGCCTTCTCCAGCTGCTTCACGTGCTCTTTGATATCTGGGGGGGCACAAGGGATGCACAATCAGCACACACCCCCCAGGGGACTCTGCCAAAGGATGCACCAGAGCGAAACCACACCGGGATCCCTCCAGGTACGAGGTGCCCCGTCCTGCTCCTGTTGGGTCCCTCTGGCCGCTCGTGGCATCGGGGCTGCGTGGCCTCAGTGTCCTGCGTGACCTCACCTTGACAGACATGTTGTGGATGTCGAGGCAGAAGGAGATGCGCTGGTGGAAGGCCAGCTGGGGCTCCCGGGTGGAGTAAATGTCAATCATTTCCTTGGACTGGACGTAGCCCTTCTCGTGGTTAATGCTGGCCTCGATCACGCCGTCCCGGATGGCCTGCAAGCCCGAGGGCACGCGGTCAGGGCACCCGCTGTCTCCCAGGGCTGAGGCAGCAGTTTAGAGTGAAGGGAGGAGCTGGCTGCTGTGACAGGAGCGCCGGGCTCAGGACACAGCGCATGGAGAGGGGACTCGGTGCCCTGAGGGTCCCCAGCAACCCCGGGAGGGGCCTTAACCTGAAATCCAGCCACTGCCCCAGGAGGGGAGTGCTGCAGGGAGGGGGCAGAGGCAGGAGAGCGAGGGCAGCTGAGAGAACCAGGGGCTGTGGGCAGCCCGGGACCCTGAGGGACAGGATTTTGGAGGCAGATACCTTGGCGACGATGAACTCTGCATCCTCTGGACTGTCCAGCTGCAGCTTCTGGGCGATATCAGCCAGGGAGATGCGAGAATAGGAGAGGCTGATCATCCGGACACCTGCGTAGGAGGAACCAGAGCAGAGCCCCCTGGGTCAGGCAGCCCCAGGCCCGTCGAGCCCAGGGCACCCACAGCCATGTCGGGGTCCCCAGACACCCCAGTGACGGTCCCACGGTCCCCTTACCCGTCTTGATGACGTTGTGCCTCAGACGAATGATCAGGGTGTAGGTGCCATCAGCCTGGAACTTGTCCCCAAACTGATCAAGGACTTGGTTGAACTTGGCCAGGTTCCCAGTCCTGACGGCTGGAGGAGGGAATGTGTTAATGGGGGAGAGAATGTGTTAATTGGGGAAAGAGCGAGGGCCGGGGTGCGATGGGGAGAGCGAGGCAGGGCTGACTCCCAGGTCTGTATCCCCCCTGGGCTTAGGGGCTGCCTCCCTTTCTCCCCACATGGAGCCTGTGGCTGAGTCCCTTTGAGGGGAGAGAGAGAGAGGGAGAGAGAGACCCCTCTGCTGCTCCCTCAGAGCAGGGGACGTTGTGAGAGGGACCAAGCATCCTGTCATACCCTGGGTGAGGAGGAAGTAGGGCATCAGCGACCGCTTGAGGGAGGGTTGTCTGAACTGGAGCCTGTCCGGGATCTCCCCGAGCAGCAGCTCCACCACGATGAGCAGCTTGTGCACCTTGAGCAGAAACAGACCGTGAATCCCCAGCAGGGCCTGACCCCTTCCCCTGGGGACCCGGGAGGTACCCAACCCCCCAAAAAAACATCCCCTCCCCGCTCACCGTTTGCTTGAAGCCGACGGCCGTGTGCTGCGGCGCCTTCCGCAGGGCGTTCGTCATGGTCCTCCTCGCCTCAGAGTACTCCAGCTGGATGGCCTTGATGCGCCCTTGAAAAGCCCCCGAGTGAATCCAACTGGACCCACTCGGATGGAGCTTCAAATCCTGCCTGGAAGCTCCATCTCCAGCTGCTCCAGTGGGTTCTCTGAGGAACCTCCATCTCGGGTGCAGCCCGAGCCGTCTTAATGGGAGGCCACACGTAGCCCAGTCTGTTTACTCAGAAGATTGAGGACGTACAGAGACACGCACAGGGCTGCTATGGCCAAGAAGGCATCTTCCTTACAGACAACAGATCCGTCTTTCCGGAGCGTCGCTCCGCTCATCTCAATCATTGCGAGGGTCAGTTCTTGTTCTTTCTCTTGCGAGAAGGAGAGCAACCTGGCGTCCACGCTGAAACTCTTCTCATTTTCTATGTCGTGTTCCAAGATGCTCTTAACCTTCGCCTCCTGACCACGTCGAGTTTATTCAGGAATTCGTAGATGCGGGAGTGGTAGTAATAACATTTTGCCACCACCAGGTCAAGGGCCCGGCGGTTTTGGGAGCTGATCTTCTGCATCAGGTCATCGGACACTTTCTGAGCCTGCAAGAGGGGGAGAGAGGTCAGAGAAGAGGAATTGCTGGCCAGGAAGAGCAGAGACTGTCAGGGCTGAGCCTGGGAGCTCTGGGGCTGAGTTTGGGGGCTGCCTCCAGACACAGCAGAAGCAAAGGGGGAAAGTGTGGGCCACAGACAGGTCCCTGAGGCTCCCCGGACCCTGCCTGGCACAGGAGCATCACAGGAAGAGCTCAGCTTCAGAGCTGGGACCTCAGGGAATCTCACCTCCGGGTATCGCTTGCTGTTCATCAGGTAGATGACGAGCAGCAGCTGGAGGTAGGTCTCCACTTCTGGCAAGAGAGGGGCTGAGGCCGCTTTCCCCGTCCGTGGGCGAAACTGCAGCTCTGCTTCTGTCTCCATGGACTGGGGGGGAGAGAGATGTGCTGGACCCCCGTCCCTCCTGCCCCACTGACACCCCCCTGTGCCCCTCACACCTCCAGAGAGGCCTGTCCCCGGTGACAGCTCTGCTTGAGGTGTGACAAAAAGCCAGCCCGGGATGCCAGCACTGCAGCCCCATCCCTGCCAAGAGCTGCAGCAACCCAGCTCAGCTGTCCCCAAGTGTCCCCAAGCCCTCGCTGTCCCCTGTGCCCCACGCAGCAGCACCCCGGAGGCTCCTGGGTGCGGGGGGAAAGGTGTCACCTCTCCCCATCCCCTGCCACCATTACCTGCCACCGTTACCTCCTCCAGGAAGCCGAGGAGGAAGTCCCTCGTGGTGGTGTTGGAGGTGAAGAAGCCATTGATGGCTTTGTGCAGCACGTTGGAGTTGAGTCGGCGGGAGGTGGAGGGCAGAGCCCGCAGGGCACGCAGGACGTAGCGCGGCTCCTTCCCCGACACGGCCTTCTCCAGCTGCTTCACATGCTCTTTGATATCTGGGGGGGCACAAGGGATGCACCATCAGCACACACCTCCTGAGGCCTCTGCCAAAGGATGCACCGGAGCGAAACCAGCGCCGGGATCCCTCCAGGTATGAGGTGCCCTTTCCTGCTCCCGTTGGGTCCCTCTGGCCACTCATGGCACGGGGGCTGCGTGGCCTCAGTGTCCTGCGTGACCTGACCCAAACCCACGGCCACCTCTGCTCGGAGCAAGGGACTGGAGAAGGCCCCTCAGAGGTCTCTCCCTCCATCACCCCCTCTGTGGGCTCCATTCTCCCT